GAGCGTCCGGGACGTCCGTCCTCGGAGCGTCCGGGTGTCCGTCCTCGGAGCATCCGGGACGCCCGTCCTCGGAGCGTCCGGGTGTCCGTCCTCGACGGCTACTATGATAAACCACCCCCCCCCCTCCACCAGTCAAACCACCTGGATAGTTATCTATATATTTGTGATGGTCTAAAAGTTCCTTTGTCCTCAACTGAGATTATTCTAAAGTTATAACTTTATTGTATTATGAATCTTTGGTTTAGGAAATTTACACTTCATCTACCCCTCCATCTCTCTAAATAAAATCGTTTGGAAATTGAATAAAAAAGATTCCCATTGTGACAACTATCATACGTAACATGACAACTGTCATACGTAACATGACAACTATCATACGTAACATGGCAACTATCATACATAACATGACAACTGTCATACGTAACATGACAACTATCATACGTAACATGACAACTGTCATACATAACATGACAACTATCATACGTAACATGACAACTGTCATACGTAACATGACAACTGTCATACGTAACATGACAACTGTCATACGTAACATGACAACTGTCATACATAACATGACAACTATCATACGTAACATGACATCTGTCATACATAACATGACAACTATCATACGTAACATGACAACTGTCATACATAACATGACAACTGTCATACGTAACATGACAACTATCATACGTAACATGACAACTGTCATACGTAACATGACAACTGTCATACGTAACATGACAACTGTCATACGTAACATGACAACTGTCATACGTAACATGACAACTGTCATACGTAACATGACAACTGTCATACGTAACATGACAACTGTCATACGTAACATGACAACTGTCATACGTAACATGACAACTGTCATACGTAACATGACAACTATCATACGTAACATGACATCTGTCATACATAACATGACAACTGTCATACGTAACATGACAACTGTCATACGTAACATGACAACTGTCATACGTAACATGACAACTATCATACGTAACATGACAACTGTCATACATAACATGACAACTATCATACGTAACATGACAACTATCATACGTAACATGACAACTGTCATACATAACATGACAACTATCATACGTAACATGACAACTATCATACGTAACATGACAACTGTCATACGTAACATGACAACTGTCATACATAACATGACATCTGTCATACGTAACATGACAACTGTGATGGTGTTTACTGGTTCAGGTTCTACGGTGAGTGGACAGACGAGGGTTCGAGCCCCGGCGGGGTGACCACCCCCGTCACGGAGCGAGTGGAGCTCCGTTACTACCTGGAGGACAACACGGCGGAGGTTCGAGTCCACCACCTCACCCCCCACCAGGACGCCCTCACCCCCACCCCCCCTCACCTACCCACCAAGATCCTCAGGCGCGCCCCCATACCCAAGGTCAGTAGCCGGCGTCACCAGACTTGTCATGGTGACTGGTCTGGGGTGTGGGACGGTCATAGACTGGCTCGGTACTGGTGGGTCGCACGGTGCCCCGGGGTACTGTGCTTGCTCCAGTCCCCCAGGGTACTGTGCTTGCTCCAGTCCCCCAGGGTACTGTGCTTGCTCCAGTCCCCCAGGGTACTGTGCTTGCTCCAGTACTCAGTCCCCCAGGGTACTGTGCTTGCTCCAGTACAGTCCCCCAGGGTACTGTGCTTGCTCCAGTACTCAGTCCTCCAGGGTACTGTGCTTGCTCCAGTACAGTCCCCCAGGGTACTGTGCTTGCTCCAGTACTCAGTCCTCCAGGGTACTGTGCTTGCTCCAGTACTCAGTCCCCCAGGGTACTGTGCTTGCTCCAGTACTCAGTCCCCCAGGGTACTGTGCTTGCTCCAGTACTCAGTCCCCCAGGGTACTGTGCTTGCTCCAGTACTCAGTCCCCCAGGGTGCTGTGCTTGCTCCAGTACTCAGTCCCCCAGGGTACTGTGCTTGCTCCAGTACTCAGTCCCCCAGGGTACTGTGCTTGCTCCAGTACTCAGTTCCCCAGGGTACTGTGCTTGCTCCAGTGCTCAGTCCCCCAGGGTGCTGTGCTTGCTCCAGTGCTCAGTCCCCCAGGGTGCTGTGCTTGCTCCAGTGCTCAGTCCCCCAGGGTGCTGTGCTTGCTCCAGTACTCAATCCCCCAGGGTGCTGTGCTTGCTCCAGTCCTCCAGGGTACTGTGCTTGCTCCAGTACTCAGTCCCCTAGGGTACTATGCTTGCTCCAGTACTCAGTCCCCCAAGGTACTGTGCTTGCTCCTGTACTCAGTCCCCCAGGGTACTGTGCTTGCTCCAGTACTCAGTCCCCCAGGGTACTGTGCTTGCTCCAGTACTCAGTCCCCCAGGGTGCTGTGCTTGCTCCAGTACTCAGTCCCCCAGGGTACTGTGCTTGCTCCAGTGCTCAGTCCCCCAGGGTGCTGTGCTTGCTCCAGTGCTCAGTCCCCCAGGGTGCTGTGCTTGCTCCAGTACTCAATCCCCCAGGGTGCTGTGCTTGCTCCAGTCCTCCAGGGTACTGTGCTTGCTCCAGTACTCAGTCCCCTAGGATACTATGCTTGCTCCAGTACTCAGTCCCCCAAGGTACTGTGCTTGCTCCTGTACTCAGTCCCCCAGGGTGCTGTGCTTGCTCTAGTACTCAGTCCCCCAGGGTACTGTGCTTGCTCCAGTACTCCGTCCCCCGGGGTATTGTGCTTGCTCCAGTACTCCGTCCCCCGGGGTGCTGTGCTTGCTCCAGTACAGTCCCCCAGGGTGCTGTGCTTGCTCCAGTACTCAGTCCCCCAGGGTACTGTGCTTGCTCCAGTACTCAGTCCCCCAGGGTACTGTGCTTGCTCCAGTACTCAATCCCCCAGGGTACTGTGCTTGCTCCAGTACTCAGTCCCCCAGGGTGCTGTGCTTGCTCCAGTACTCAGTCCCCCAGGGTACTGTGCTTGCTCCAGTACTCAGTCCCCCGGGGTACTGTGCTTGCTCCAGTACTCAGTCCCCCGGGGTGTTGTGCTTGCTCCAGTACTCAGTCCCCCGGGGTACTGTGCTTGCTCCAGTACTCAGTCCCCCGGGGTGCTGTGCTTGCTCCAGTACTCAGTCCCCCGGGTGCTGTGCTTGCTCCAGTACTCAGTCCCCCGGGGTACTGTGCTTGCTCCAGTACTCAGTCCCCGGGGTACTGTGCTTGCTCCAGTACTCCGTCCCCGGGGTGCTGTGCTTGCTCCAGTACTCAGTCCCCCAGGGTGCTGTGCTTGCTCCAGTACTCAGTCCCCCAGGGTACTGTGCTTGCTCCAGTACTCAGTCCCCCAGGGTACTGTGCTTGCTCCAGTACTCAGTCCCCCGGGGTGCTGTGCTTGCTCCAGTACAGTCCCCCAGGGTGCTGTGCTTGCTCCAGTACTCAGTCCCCCGGGGTGCTGTGCTTGCTCCAGTACAGTCCCCCAGGGTGCTGTGCTTGCTCCAGTACTCAGTCCCCCAGGGTACTGTGCTTGCTCCAGTACTCAGTCCCCCAGGGTACTGTGCTTGCTCCAGTACTCAGTCCCCCGGGGTACTGTGCTTGCCCCAGTACTCTCTCATGGTGCTTGTGTTTCAGGACTTGCGTGGGTTGAGTGCAGTGGGCGGAGTGGGTGGAGTGGGTCGCCCCACCCTTAACCAGGTGGGTCTGAAAGGTGGACGGGCCCACCTTATGGACAGAAGGCCCCAGGTACTGTACCTTATACTGTCTGACCCGTCACTTATATTGTCCGCCTCATGCACCAGCTGCTGTATAGCCTCTGACTGATATATTTATGGTTTAATAGGAGTTGTTTTATATGTTATATGAGTGAGGGATGAAGCAATATAGAGAGGAGTGAGAGTCGAGCCGTTTGGGCAGGTGGCGGAGGATCCGGTGTTTCTGGACCCCAGAGACTTGGTGCTGGGGTCGACGGTGGGGGTAGCGGGGCGCTGTCTGAGGCTGTGTGAGTGTGACCCCTTCACTACTGTCTACTACACCACTGTCTATGGCATAGGTTAGTTATGTGTTAATGTGTCTCTTTGTCTCTAGCTGTCTGTCTGTCTGTCTGTCTGTCTGTCTGTCTGTCTGTTTGTTTGTCTGTCTCTCTCTCTCTCGTTCTCTCTCTCTCTCTCTCTCTCTCTCTCTCTCTCTCTCTCTCTCTCTCTCTCTCTCTCTCTCTCTCTCTCTCTCTCTCTCTCTCTCTCTCTCTCTCTCTCTCTCTCTCTCTCTCTCTCTCTTCTCTCTCTCTCTCTCTCTCTCTCTCTCTCTCTCTCTCTCTCTCTCTCTCTCTCTCTCTCTCTCTCTCTCTCTCTCGTTCTCTCTCTCTCTCTCTCTCTCTCTCTCTCGTTCTCTCTCTCTCTCTCTCTCTCGTTCTCTCTCTCTCTCTCTCTCTCTCTCGTTTCTCTCTCTCTCTCTCTCTCTCTCTCTCTCTCTCTCTCTCTCTCTCTCTCTCTCTCTCTCTTCGTTCTCTCTCTCTCTCGTTCTCTCTCTCTCTCTCTCTCTCTCTCTCTCTCTCTCTCTCTCTCTCTCTCTCTCTCTCTCTCTCTCTCTCTCTCTCTCTCTCTCTCTCTCTCGTTCTCTCTCGTTCTCTCTCTCTCTCTCTCTCTCTCTCTCTCTCTCTCTCTCTCTCTCCTCTCTCTCTCTCTCTCTCTCTCTCTCTCTCTCTCTCTCTCTCTCTCTCTCTCTCTCTCTCTCTCTCCTCTCTCTCTCTCTCTCTCTCTCTCTCTCTCTCTCTCTCTCTCTCTCTCTCTCTCTCTCTCTCTCTCTCTCTCTCTCTCTCTCTCTCTCTCTCTCTCTCTCTCTCTCTCTCTCTCTCTCTCTTCTCTCTCTCTCTCTCTCTCTCTCTCTCTCTCTCTCTCTCTCTCTCTCTCTCTCTCTCTGCTGTATCATGTATTAATACAATACACCAATAATTAATTTGTATAAATAGTATTGGTGACAAAATCAGTTGTAAGACTATTACTGTTGTAGAGCAGCGGCCGAGTGCCTACCAGTACTTGCAGAGGCGGGTAGTGGGCCCCCGGGAGCCTCGAACCACGACCCTGGACCCCCGCTGGCTGGAGGAGCCCCCGAGGGACCCCATCCACCCCCTCCCCACCTCCGTCTCTACCCTGGTGGGGGGCATGCACGCGCGTGAGCTCAGGTGGGTATTTGTGTTCTCCTTCCTTCATGTAGGTCACAGTTCGATCCCCCGACTGCCCCAAGGGTCGGGCACTGACTTGTCCTCATATATCCCCTCCTGTCTGGCCATCATATCCGGTCCATGTGGGTTAATTCGCAGGAAATTTATTAATTTGTTATAATTATAGACGCCAGTCAGGAGAAGACTCTGAATTACTTTCCTCACATCCGTCACAGTTCATTGTAAACACACGCCCATGGGGTCCTGTAAACCAGGTTAGTCTACCCTAAATAGATCTACTTGTAGACGTTTTCTGTGACGGTGTTGTCCTTCCGGACAGGATAGACTATCCTAAATTGATCCACTCGTAGAGAACACATCCACAAGGGCCGTGACGAGGATTCGAACCTGCGTCCGAGAGCATATCCCAGACGCTGCCTTAGTCTCCACTTATAGAGGTGTTCTGTGAGAGTGTTGTCCTCCCCGACAGGTCCGGCAGTGAGGACAAGATCCTGCGCTTCGGGGCCAAGTTGGTCTCCAGCTGCGACATTGACAAGGATAGAGAATTCGTAATTAATTTCTACGTCTACGACTCCACTATTTCCGTCTACGAGGTGCCTAAGATCAACTCAGGTTCGTAACAACAATTATTTATCATATTACTGAACATTCTCAGTGATAAATATACATATTTCTTCCTGTATACATGAAGTCTCCGTGGTGTAGTGGTAAGACACTCGCCTGGCGTTCCGCGAGCGCTATGTCATGGGTTCGTATCCTGGCCGGGGAGGATTTACTGGGCGCAAATCCTTAACTGTAGCCTCTGTTTAACGCAACAGTAAAATGTGTACTTGGATGAAAAAAACGATTCTTCGCGGCAGGGGATCGTATTCCAGGGACCATAGGATTAAGGACTTGCCCGAAACGCTACGCGTACTAGTGGCTGTACAAGAATGTAACAACTCTTGTATATATCTCAAAAAAAAAAAAAAGTATGTTACCAGACATACACACACACACTTGTATGACTCGGTGTATAGACATTTTCAGTGCTGGTGTGTACACTCCCACACCTGTCTCAGTGTTGGTGTGTACACTCCCACACCTGTCTCAGTGTTGGTGTGTACACTCCCACACCTGTCTCAGTGTTGGTGTGTACACTCCCACACCTGTCTCAGTGTTGGTGTGTACACTCGCACACCTGTCTCAGTGTTGGTGTGTACACTCCCACACCTGTCTCAGTGTTGGTGTGTACACTCCCACACCTGTCTCAGTGTTGGTGTGTACACTCCCACACCTGTCTCAGTGTTGGTGTGTACACTCCCACACCTGTCTCAGTGTTGGTGTATACGCTCCCACACCTGTCTTAGGGTTGGTGTGTACACTCCCACACCTGTCTCAGTGTTCATATATACATTGATCAACGGGCCATTTTTGTGACGTCGTGAGAACTGGAGGTGGCCAAACATCAGCTTCAGCCCAGGACCTCTTAGGTCCCTCTTATGGACCTCGTAGGTCTCTCTCAGGGACCTCGTAAGTCAGTTGTGATATTCACCAACAGGTATGCGGGCGGGGATGTTCTTGGGACGCGGGCTGGTGGTGGCGGGAGCCGGACACGTGGCGGGAGCCGGACACGTGGCGGGAGCCGGACACGTGGGAGGACAAGACCTGTACGTGGGCGCCGTCGTCACCATCAACTCTCACGTCTTCAGGGTGACGAGTGCTGACCAGTTCACTCTCCAGTACCTAGAGGAGCACGCTGACCAGGTACTCCAGCACACACCTGCTTCCTACACCTGCCTCCCACACCTGTCTTACCTTCACTGAATGTGTATAGTGTATGTGAAGCTGCATCTCTGCGCATGCGCTGGTAAACACGGTTGGGTTTGTACAATGAATGGACGGGTCACAGCATGAACACATCGCACTCCACAACAGTCGGGCTGGTTGAAGCCTTTATAAACCACTTATATCAGCCCAATTCCAGAATATGTGGCACCGGCGTAGACATCTTTATCATTTTAGAAGCCAAATGGAGATTATTTTAACGACAGCTTGAAATATATAAGTTTCCCGTGAAAGAGTCCGTTCTCTGTGTTTTGGTCCGTTTTCTGTGTTTCTTTCCTTGCGTCGTATTCAAACCGCTTCTTTCTAAATGTTAAATTAACATTCTCATGAATCAAAATATTGTTTAATATTAATTTGTATTAATTTTTTTACCCATTTACCTTTCGTTTCTTCACATCTCACCTTCGTTGTACACCTTCTCTTTTCTAGGAGCCATATTTTAGCTTCTCTAAACCGTGTGTGAGTTATATGTATATATATATATATATATATATATATATATATATATATATATATATATATATATATATATATATATATATATATATATATATATATATATGTCGTACCTAGTAGCCAGAACGCACTTCTCAGCTACTATGCAAGGCCCGATTTGCCTAATAAGCCACGTTTTCTGAATTAATATATTTTCTCTAATTTTTTTCTTATGAAATGTTAAAGCTACCCATTCATTATGTATGAGGTCAATTTTTTTATTTGAGTTAAAATTAACGTAGATATGTGACCGAACCTAACCACCCTACCTAACCTAACCTAACCTATCTTTATAGGTTAAGTTAGGTTAGGTAGCCGAAAAAGTTAGGTTAGGTTAGGTTAGGTAGGTTAGGTTGTCGAAAAACAATTAATTCATGAAAACTTGGCTTATTAGGCAAATTGGGCCTTGCATAGTAGGCTGACAAGTGCGTTCTGGCAACTAGGTACGACATATATATATATATATATATATATATATATTTTATTAAATATGACCGAAAAAGTAAGATTAATAATTCTAACACGAATTCTGTTGGACGACATATTCGACCTCGAGACACAAAAGAAGGTCACTACCAAAGATACCTTACAAGCAGAACTTATTGCAGAAGGAGGAAAGAATCGAGGCAACTACAGAAGCACCATACTGTCCCCCGAGCTTAGAGCGGCAGCTAAAAGCCTTCGTGAGAACAAGGAGATAGTTGTCAGGAGAGGTGACAAGTCGCCAATATATGTCATTCTTAAAAAAGACGAATATCTGGCGAAAATGAACATCATACTCTCTGACCAAACTAAGTTCCAAAGGGTAACGAAGGACACTACAGCCGAATTAAAAGCAAAGGTCAACAAACTGATCGAAACTGTGAACGCCAAGAAATCCGGACTCCACCTGCCAAAGATCATTGGGGAATATAAACCTGGATATGCGTATGGAAATGTCAAGACGCACAAGCCTGGAAACCCACTTCGGCCAATCATTAGCCAGATACCCACACCCACGTACAGATTGGCGAAGCGACTCAACGGCCTGCTGACTCCTTATGTTCCTTGCGCCTTCAGCCTGAAGTCTCCAAAGGAATTTGTGGACTTACTGCGGGGCGCACGGGCCACAGGGATAAGAGCCTCGTTGGACGTAGAATCGCTGTTTACCAACGTACCTGTGGACGAGACAATCGGAATGATAGCCGACAGAGTGTATCGTGATCCAGCCTGTACTCCTCTTGACATGCCAGAAAGTATTCTGAGGAAACTACTCCAAGCTTGTACTAAAGAGGCACCCTTCTGAGCCCGGATGGGCACATGTATAAGCAAGTAGATGGGGTCGCTATGGGTTCTCCCCTAGGTGTCCTGTTTGCAAACTTCTACATGGGTACCATCGAGCAAAAGTCTTAGTCGACATGAACTTGAAACCGGCCATATACTGCAGGTATGTTGACGACATTTTTACACAGGTACCTGATGTCAGACATCTGCAGGAGCTGAAGGAGGCATTTGAGCAGAGTTCCGTGCTGCGTTTCACTTACGAGACGGAAAAGGATGGGAAGCTGCCTTTTCTAGATGTAACAGTCATGGAAAAGGGCGGAGGTTTCCACACTGCAGTCTACACAAAGGAAACAAACATAGGAATGTGCCTAAATGCCAACAGCGACTGCCCTGACAGGTACAAGAGGAGTGTTGTTAACGCATACGTCGACCGTGCTCTCAGCCACAGCTCAGAATGGAAGCAAGTCGACGAAGAACTCTGTAGGGTAAGGCAGGTTCTAGTCAATAACGGTTTCTCCAATGGTTTCATCGAAGACATCATTGTGTGGGAAAAATCCAGGCAGCTAATCTCTCTTTTCAAATTGATTTAATAAAATAAAGTTATGTCTTATTATTTTCTTAGTAAGTAAGTATTAATTAAGTGGACTGTATGTACTGGTAAACTGCCTGAAATCTTCTTACACACTATTGGAGGGACAATTGGTAGCTTAAACCACTATGTTATGGTCCCTTCTTAAACTACCAATTGTTTACCTTTAAAACTATTATTTCAGTTATTTCATTATAAGTAATTAATTATAACTACTGCTACTGCTATAATGTCTTAGCTGTGCCAGTAGAATGGGCCTAGTAAGGCGTGTAGGTGTAGCCTCAAGATGGGTGTGGCCCTGCCTCTTTGTGCCACGTAATGGCGGCTGGAGGGAAGGACAAGGCTTGGCAAACAAGTAGTTAATTATGTGTATGAACCAACTGTCTGCACAGATTCTTGAAGCTCCTCTCACAATTTACCTGTATGGGATGCAAGGAATTAATCAAAGTTCCCTAAACATATCAATTACAGGTATGACATGAACTGTGAGGGTGGTAATGGGGTACACGTACGGTGTTTTTGGGGATGTCCTACGACATAACCATCTACATATTTATATTAAACAGTGCACTTGAATAATAAACAATACTTGGTAGACGGATACAGATGTCGTTGTGATGTTGTTAGGCTGTGTGGCTGGTGTTGACACGTAAATGGGGTGTCTAGCTGTTACACCAGTTAAGACAGCGTGGTAAGCTCATCCATGTTGTGTTGATGTTGTATGTATGGACGCCTTCCTCTCCGGGGTGACGCTCTTATGCTCTGGTTCTCCACTCAAAGTAATTTTACATTAACAAGGGAACCTAGCTACTATTTGATGTAAATAATTATATTCATTCTTAGTGATTACTTTTTTGTTAACTTTAGATACTAAACTAATCTATTAACAATATTTCATAATGTAAATATACGATGACTTTGATGACGTCACGGTGTCTCCCATTTTCCATCCTGAAGGGAGTATAGACTAGGGGAGACTGTGTTATTTGTGTGTGGTTGTGTGTGTGTGTCGGTTTCCCGACATAATTCCCAGGGGCAGAACACGGGTCGAAGTCCCGGTAAGGACTGCGATCACTTTATTCTTCTCCCTCAGAATTATAGTGCTGCTTTAATTTGAGTTTACATTGTTGTGCAGCAGTCCGTTGGGGACGTATGTCCCGTACTGGCGTATCGGGTGCTGGAAGTCGTTGTACGTCTTCTTTCCTGGCCAGTTCTAAAGGTACTAATTTCTCTAAAGTTTTGAGAGTAGTGTTGCCTTTGCATTTTACTTTCACTATTCTCAAGATGCCCTGGCTGTCTGGATGAACAGAGACTATTTCTCCTATAGGCCACTCCGAGCGTGGTCCGTCACTATCCACCAGAACTATGTCACCAGGGTTCAAGTTAATTCTATTATAGGGACTGTTTGCCCCGTAATGATACTCCCTCAGAGCTGTTAGGTATTCACGAGTCCATACGTCATTCCACCGACTTATCACCCCTGAAAGATGTTTGAAACGTTGAACCAAATCACTCTCTTTGACATATGAAGGATCCTCTGGTTCCTCATCCGTAAGGGACACAAGTGTTTTGAGAGGTCTCCCATACATCAAATGAGCTGGACTTAATGGTTCACGCTGCAAAGCATCATCAGAGAGGTAGGTAAGTGGTCGGTTGTTAACTCGTGCTTCTATTTCTATGATTACTGTTTGAAGCTCCTGAAGGTCAATCTTTTGGCGGTGTAGGGTTTTCCGTAAAGACCGTTTCACCGTACCAACCATCCGTTCATAGAAGCCTCCATGCCATGGTGCTCTGGGAGGTATGAATTTCCAATAGCACTGCCGTTGAGTTAGGGCTGTGCGTACCTTGGGTGTGAGAGTTTTTGTTAGTTTTTAACTTGTGAGAAGTTTTGGAATAAATTAAAATTGGTATAAGGAATTTTAGCTCGGAAAATTTCTAAGAACTTTCTTTATTCTTTAACCTTTATTCCTGTCGTGATATTCAACTAGGTCGCCTGAGGAAGGACTTGCTTAGCTAACACACCAGTGTAGTAACCAGCTCATTCCTCACTTTGGGACCATGTATGAACAATTGACTAGGCGCGAGCAAACGCCGAGACCCCAATGAAAATTGAAATCCCCCCCACTTAGGCCGCCGACCTTCGCCAATCGCCGAAGCGAATCTAACGAGTAGGTCACGGGCTCTCACAACAATAATTTATTGTTGTGTGGTGCCGTATATTTGATCCAAAGCTCAGAAAATTCGTCTCAATGTTAGTCGAGTGTGAAGAACATTTGCATAACAATAATAATGTGTGGGGGTGTAACGAAAAGACAGTGTTAACCATAACAACTTAGTTTATTCAATAAAGTACTAACTACTACAACAAAACAAAGAAATGTCAATGACGTTACTCGAAATCCTTCCTGTGACACTATCAATGACAGCTAGACACCAGCCCCTCGGACTGCATAATGAACTAACTCGAACATAAGCGTGACCACAGAGGAATCAACAAGCAAGCAAGAACTAACAGATCTATAATCACAATTACAACAAATGACACAGTAGGTTCTGAAACACGTCTCCAGTAACCTCCTAACTGTTCTACGCCTCAGTGCAGTCTACACCTGCAACAGCGGTTGCAATGCAATCAAATCAGTAGTCTTCCAATGACAACAATAACTAATGGGTTCACTGGCAACTCCAGCACCCTTCCTCAAATTAATCCTTACGTTAACACTACGTCCCACGGACGATCAACAATCAATAACAATTGATTTACGTTAATAACACAATAACATTTACGTTAATTACAAGTTAACATTTACGTTAAATTAACAACTCTTACAACTGTCACTAGTAACGCGGAAATCAAACAACACTCTACCCGTCGAGCATTCAGTGAGAAAATCCCATTAATCCCTGTACTTCCAGACAGCTGATTAATCTCTTTACTAGTTACGTTAATTTACGTTAATCGGTTACTAATCACTCAGCGATGGTAAACTCTGATTTGCAATGTCCAAAGTGCTAAGAGAACGGTAATCACTCGTGATTACCTTTAGAGTAATTAATTACTATCCTCAAGATCAATAATTAAACAATTAAAATACGCAACCTTTCACACTGGCTCAGCAATTTACATTAAGGTACGAATTCCGTCTAAGCCTTCCATACTCAGACCAATTCAGGCGACTAATAACAGTAATTAGCCCCACGTTTACGTTATTCTAAAATGACGCTACTCCTCTCACGAGTCAATCAAGTGCCGGTACTTCCGGGTAGATAACGACGTTACGTTAATGGAACAATGTAGCCTTCGTGTGAGTCGATCAAACAAGGATCGAGATTAATTACTTTGACTTCCTGAAACACGTCAATTACCCGGCCCACTGACCGTTAATTACGACAGACAATACTCTAATTCTTATCTGGCTGATGGCTAGGCTCCTCGAGACTACCGTAGCTGCTTACAGGAAAGTAAATTAACCCAAACGCATTCTACGTTACTCAAATTGTCAAAGAACAAATTCTCTTAAAGCAATGGGCGTTCCCTTGGTTACGTTATATTAATTGCCTCGCAATCACCTCACTGAATACTGGACTTCGATGTCCTACCAGATAACCAGGAGAATATATTTGTATATCCAAGTACTCGTCTACAGCCGAGTTCCCCCACGACAATGACAAATCACACTAACAAATCACAGTGATTTACGTTACAATCCGGTTGCAATGACAATACTGCAGAATCTAGCAAAATAACATACAGGACATGAACCCTCTAGAACACTGCCCCACAATGGTTTTACTGAACTGCAATCACATATGGTGATTGCTCAACACTAGCAACAATCACCATCAAATAACAACCCCCTTTGCAATAACACACACGGCAAGTACTCTAATTTCCAAATATTAGGATACTGCACACACTTACTTACTTACTGCTGCAAATGACCCCTAGAACATAGGTCAATATATTGCAATCACCACACAGTAAATAACACATTAACACTGGGCACCGTGACACTACGATATATATATATATATATAATTACCGCTGACACATGTAGCCTACAGCTATCAAACGTTATTGGGAACACTAAGGAGAATCTCACACTCCTTAAATCACATGGGTGAGTGATTTATCGGTCACGCATGCCGATAAACACTCGAGAGTTACGTTACTCGACAGAGCGGGGGCGGTCTCTCTAGACGGCCTCGTCACTCACCAAACCTCACCAAAATTACGTTAATTAATACTGCAACCACAATATATATATTTATATAAATCACACTTGTCACGGCCCTGGGAACACTACAAGAAATTTAAGCCACACTGTGGCACACTCCACAATAATCATTGCCAGGAATCACTGGCGTTACACATACCTGAGCGCTCAGTGTTGGAATTCCACACCTGCAAGACCACACATGGAAATGATATCACTCCGTCCCACGGACGATCAAAAATGATTACCACAATGAAATAAAAGAATTTATTACATGGACATCCTCTCCGTCCTTGGCTAATCTATGTATATTCTGTGTTCCCGTGTGTACCCACACACACACACACACTGTACGTCTGTGTACACCAGACATAAGTCCCTCTGGACTGACAAGATGACAACACAGGTGATTAATCTCCTCGCCCACAATTCACTCCACCTGAACAGGTGCTGCGTGACAATGTGACGGAACACTTGACCTCGAATTCAAGCTTTAGAGACCACTAATCACCGAAATACACACATAGGTACTTACTCATTCACACTGCCGGCTTTACACACCATTCCCATACATCAGGCACCCCGCTATAGGTGGCTGGCTCGCTCCGGGTGGCGTAGGCGGCGGTAGTTCCTGACCGTAGTATTTATACGGAAAATTGGCGCACACTCGAACCCCTCCCACTCAACACGGCCGAGTTCGCACCCTCGACTCCCCGGTGAAGTGAAGCGTTCATACCCAGGTGACACGCACAACGATAGCGTCTCACACCAACCTTGGGAAATTGCCTTAACACTGACACGAATTTCCCCGTTCCCATCGACTGCTACAGAGCACTAGCAAGTCTAATCATCACTGGTATGGGATCTACGAGTCTGTTGCTGCTCGTATGCACATTCCCCCACGATCCCAGATCACTGTACCTCTACCCCCTGCATACAATAATGTCTTAAACCCCTCCAAGCGACGACTTCGGCCGGATTCTGTGACGACCGATGTCGTAGGTGAAGCAGGAAGCATCAGCAGTTGTAGTCCAGCCACCACGACGCCCTATACATCAATTTGGCCGAATTGAGTACAGGATGCGTCTTGACAAGGTGGCGGCTGAGTTCAGAATGATGCTCACACCGGCTCTTCCCGCGTCCTTCTCGAAATAACCAATGAGAGGAAGGCATACAGCGGCCTACCCCTCTCATCCAATCAGCGACGGTGTAGCATAGCCCCTAGGGCAGCTCCAAGATGGCCGACCAACATGGCGGCTCAAGATGTTTACTAAGATGGCGGCTGTCTCCATGACAACCACTCAAGTGGCCAGCGAGCGTGGGGCCCCACATGTCTCACCCCACGCCTGCGGCCTAGGCGTTCGCGCGCAAAGTTGTCTGGCTCCATGCCATACAATGAGATGATGCTATCAGCTCTAGCACTGTCCACAGACATGCCACCCCGGCCAGGGTAACATTTATGGACTGCTGATGACTGGGGCTCTCACATGAGCCCAAACACTAGATGTTTCGGTTGTTGGTACAAAACTTAAGTCCGCCCACTTAACAAGTGCACTTAACAAGTGTACTGGCTCCCACAGGCATAAGAGCACTATTGTAAGTGAGCTGGTGAACCACCTCCTCACATTGGGGTGTGTCCAGATTTTCCTCAGGCATGCTTCTCCTGCCACCAAGTTGGACCCATTGTCTGAAATCATTAACTTGGGACAAGATCTACGTGAAGCAAACCTGCGGAAAGCCTGTAAGAATGCTTCGGCACTCATATCGGGAGTCACTTCTAGATGGACTGCCCTTGTTGTGGCACAAGTAAAAAGACAGATATAGGCCTTTACTGGTTTCTTGTCTTTAGTGCCTGTCAGTGTTAGTGCTCCTGTGAAATCTACTCCTGTTGTCTCAAAAGGATGAATATGTACGACTCGTTCCTTCGGAAGTGGAGGAGGGCCAGGATATGGACACACTCTGGCATCGTATCTCCGGCATACAACACAGGATTTGATTATGGATTTTACTGTCTGTCTACCTTGGGGTAGCCAGTAGTGTTGTCTTAATTCTGTGAGAGTATCTAATACCCCACCATGCAGAGTGCAGTATTTGTGTATATGTAACACAATTAGTTTGCTTACTATGTGGTGACGAGGGAGCAATATTGGATTTTTTGCTTCCAGATCTATGTCAGCATGTTGTAAGCGTCCTCCGCATCTTATCAAGTTATAATTGTCAGTGTCTAACCAGAGACCCAGATCATGTTGTAGCTTCTTAGGAACATTGTCAATTTCTGTCCCGAATGTGTCGGTCAGAGCTCTTTTAACCCAGTACCTTAAGGCACTAGGGAATTTATGCTTGATTCCTATTTTCTTTAGAAAATCAAACACTACTTGGGTGACACCTACAAGTTTGTTCAGTTCAGAGTACCGAGCAGGATCAATTACCAAAGTCTGAGGTAGTTCCGGGTTCTCAGTGGGAACAGTGACATTGGTCACAATGACTTGTGGCTTTTGTTCAGGCCACTGGTCGCTGATTAGCCACTGAGGTCCGTTGAACCACATCTCTGCCTTTGTTAATTGCCGTAAAGTCAGGCCTCGGGAGAGATAGTCAGCTGGATTCTCTTTAGTAGGTACATATCTTAGTTTATACCCTGCTGACAACTCTCGTATTTCCTTAACGCGGTTACTCACGTAAGGATTCTTACTGTTATTGTTTTTAACCCACTGTAGCACTGCCTCATTATCTGACCATACTACTGTTTCTGTAAAGTGGATGTGGCTTAAGGCCTTGATCAGATAATGAGCCAATCTTACACCTAGCAGTAAGGCTGTTAATTCCAGTTGTGGCAGTGATCTCTTCTTTAAAGGTGCCACTCTGGCCTTTGATGTGAGCAAATTGGCTTGCCCATTTGAGACCAGGTAAGCTACTGTACCATAAGCCTTTCCTGAGGCATCACAAAATACATGCAGCTTAATTGGTTCTTTTTCATTTACTGTTGTGTTCCTAGGGAACTTGACAGACTCTAGGATGCTTAAATCTTTCACTAACCCTTGCCATTTTTCTTGTAGGGCAGGTGTTAGAAGATCATCCCAGCCTATCTTTTGTTGCCAACATTCCTGTATTATCATCTTCCCATTAATTAGTATTGGACTTAATAAGCCTAATGGGTCGAAGGGTTTGCTGACTTGTGATAGCAATTTTCTCATTGTTAAGTTAGTGGTATCTGTTTCCACTGACTTGATTGTCAACTGATCGGTTGTCGTGTTCCATTGGACACCTAGTACCTTTGTCATCTCGGGTACTTGGTAGTCGGGAAATTCAGTTGTGATCAGTTGTTTTAATTTGTCATTGTTAGAGACCCAAGACTGGAGAGGCATATTGGCTCCCATTAATTCTCGATTGGCCTCATGGTATATGTCCAACAGCTTACTTTCACTGTTGGCTGTTCCTTGAAAGTTATCCACATACAGGTTTTCGCTGATTTCTGTCTTGTTCGGACTATTGGACTTCTTCAAGTGCGTATCCAAGGTAGCTTGAAGCAGAAATGGTGAGCTCGTGGCTCCGAACAAAACAGACGCAAACCTATAAGTGATTATTTCACTATTTGGATCATTAGGATCCTTAATCCATAGGAACTTTGTGTAGTTCCGGTCTTCTTCTTGAAGACCTACCCTAAGGAATGCCTTGCTAATGTCGGCCGTATATGCATAAGTCCCTATACGAAACTTTAACAGCACGTCAAAAAGCCTTTGTGTTAGGCTTGGGCCTGTTTGAAGGCAATCATTTAATGAAACACTATTCTGCCCCATCTTAGCACTGCAATTAAATACTATCCGTAGTGGGGTAGTCGCAGAATCCTTCTGAACATGGTGGTGTGGCAGATAATGTCCTTCCTTTGGGTTATCATTTGTTACAACTTCGATAAATTTGTCATCGAGCTGCTTCTGTATTATTTCATGGTACAATTTCAAGTTCTCAGGTTGTCTTTGTAAACGTAACACCTGTGATCTTAATTGATTTTGTGCCATGAAGTAATTGATGGGTAGCTGAGGGTGATTCAGCTTCCATGGTAACCTGACCCAGTACTGATTATCTCTGTAGATAACTGAGTCTAGGTATTGTTTATAAGTCCAGTCATCATCTGGACTAGGCTGTTCAGGGACAATGCCGAGAGTTGCCAGGTCCCATAACTTATATACTGGGGGATCAAGCTCATCCTCGGAAATGTCTCTGAGTTGCAGTGGAGACTGTTCTCCTAGTCATGCAACCATTACTGTGTTGGCATGTTGGTGATCCACAGGTGCGGGTTGTTTTAGCCGTAATACTGGGCCTGTTAGTAAATAGCCACCTGCAGATGGTAACACGTTCATACCGTGGTAATCTTCCTTTCCTATGATAAACTTATGGTAGACATCTGATCCCATAAGGATTCCAATATCGGAAAGGTTGTCCGATGTAATGTTATCAGCCAAAGGCATTCCCTTTTCTTCTAGGAATTTGGCTGTTGTTCCTAGACCTTCTATATACAGGTCTGTTGGAAATCTATCTACTACTAGTGCTGGTACTTTTCGTACATAACCACCTAGTCGTACTGTGGGTCGTACTACCCCGTAAGTTCGGGCTCCTGAGTTAGTCAGGAATCCTTTTATGTTTATCCGTGTCTCCTCTACAGGTGTAAGTTTCAGTTTATCTACCAACTCCTTGGATATAAAGGTCAGTTGGGACCCCTGATCAAATAATCCACGTACGGTGGCTTTATTCTTTCCATTTCTAATGATCAATCGTGCAGTAGGTAGAGCTGATTGATGGTTAGACCTGGTTGTGAAGACACTTATGTCAGGTAACACAGTACAAAGTTTTACTGATGCTGTAGCTCCTTCCTCCTCCTGTGGTTTGGGAGACTTTATACTTGTGTCCCCACAAAGTGCAGTATGGTGTTGACCCTTATGGCACTTAGTGCAGATGCGCATTACTGTTGTGCAATTGTCGGGATGATGTTCCCTTATACACTTGCTACATCTATATAACTCCTTGAGTCGTTTTATGCGTGTTGCACGATCAGGGTAGCGTCTGCAATTGTACATGGAATGTGATTGCTCACAAAACACACATGGTTTCCAGACATTAACAGTATCTTGAGGAGTCACCGTCTTGGGTGATGCGTTGACTGTAGGTTTGGAAGGACCAACTGCATATGTTCCTACACTGCCCTGATTCCACTTTGTGGAGGGGGAAGATGTTTTAGCTTTGTTTGGAGCACTGTTTGTACTCTGTTGTTTACTATTAGTAGCAGATGTGGGTTTAGATGTTTTTTCTTCTGGATTAACTCTTTCTCGTTCTATGATGGTTTGTAAACCCTTTGTAATCTCATTTACAGTCAAGGATGACTTACCTACTAATACAAACAACTTATCCAGTATGTCCCTGGGTAATTTCCGTGTCATGTGGACTTGTATTATCCAGTCTGACTCATCCAGGTTCACTTTATTTTTAAGTGCCTTGAGTATGGACTCAAGCTCCAATCTGAAGGTTTGGAGTGAGACTGCAGTATTATTTGGAGGTTTAATGTCTAACAGTCTCTGTGTTAGAATTCTGATAGTCCTTTCAGGTTTAGCGTAATTATCTTTCAGGAGTTGCACTGCATTGTCATAATCATCATCTGTGTGATTTAGATTACAGACTACCTGATACGCTTCATCCTTCAAGACACTCTGTAAGTATGTAAACTTTGTTGTTTTTGGCACATTAGCATTAGAATCCACAGAATCGACAAATTTGCTCCAGAAACCGTCCCAACTCTCGTCTTCTCTTCCAGAAAAAGTTGGTAAACTAAGTGATGGCAATTTGACTTCTGGTGCTGTCTGTTTCTGGGAAGTTGTGGTTACAATATTTATATTAGCTTTATGGGCATGTATGATATCATCAAAGTATTGCAACTGTGTAAACATTGTATCTTCATAATCGGAATGTTCTCGTATAACATCTTGTAATGTTTCTCCACCAACACTGGTATTCTGAAGTAAAACTTGATAGTCTTTCATTTGTTGCAACACACGGTCATATTTGTTCCGTGCAAGCCTAAGATAATTTTCCAATGCTACATAGTTAACTGGAGTTTGTTTACTTATGTCATCACATGTGCTAATCTGCCGTGATAAATGATCCCTCAATCCTGTGAGGGTTATTTGGACATTTTTGACAGTAGACATTTTGGAAGTACTTGTTAGTCGTATAGACTATATTTAAATATAAACTGTAAAATCATACACACTATAATTTGAGTGGTAGACCTGTATCAATGCTGGTATCCGCAAGTTAGCCCATCATTATCACTCTTGGTTGGTACAGAGACACAGGTTAACACTCAAAGGTGAAATGATTATAGTTAAATTGTACTAATGTTATATTGATATCATATTGACAACACAACTCGGGTTGTCTTAAATACTGCATACAAATATGTACTTGCTAGGTTGTAATATGTGTTCAACTCTAGACAAGTGTAAAATTCTTACCCTTACACCAGGTTAGGACAATAAATTAGACTAGGTTGCTGTACAACACCAGCCTAAAATGTTCTACCCTTGTGCAAGAATTAGTAGTAAATGATGTGGCATGCAGTAAATGTTACAGTAATGGCAATAATAATGCAATAATACAAAAAAACATATATAAGTAACTTATAAGTAAAGTAGCCTCTTATCAACCTCTTGTTATGAAATGAAAAAACACAATTGTTCCTTTGATACTGTCAGAACAATAATAGTGCTTGTTGTAAGTTCTGTTTGCTATGAGATTGAAAAGTTAGGCTAGAAAATATGCAAAAAATATAGCAGTGTCTTCCTGCTATAATGTGTGGGTAATATTGCACTATCACTATATGTATGTATAATATCTAGTTCAAAGAACTAAATATAATCCGGTTCCGTAGGACCAAACAATGTGGGGAAAAATCCAGGCAGCTAATCTCTCTTTTCAAATTGATTTAATAAAATAAAGTTATGTCTTATTTATTTTCTTAGTAAGTAAGTATTAATTAAGTGGACTGTATGTACTGGTAAACTGCCTGAAATCTTCTTACACACTATTGGAGGGACAATTGGTAGCTTAAACCACTATGTTATGGTCCCTTCTTAAACTACCAATTGTTTACCTTTAAAACTATTATTTCAGTTATTTCATTATAAGTAATTAATTATAACTACTGCTACTGCTATAATGTCTTAGCTGTGCCAGTAGAATGGGCCTAGTAAGGCGTGTAGGTGTAGCCTCAAGATGGGTGTGGCCCTGCCTCTTTGTGCCACGTAATGGCGGCTGGAGGGAAGGACAAGGCTTGGCAAACAAGTAGTTAATTATGTGTATGAACCAACTGTCTGCACAGATTCTTGAAGCTCCTCTCACAATTTACCTGTATGGGATGCAAGGAATTAATCAAAGTTCCCTAAACATATCAATTACAGGTATGACATGAACTGTGAGGGTGGTAATGGGGTACACGTACGGTGTTTTTGGGGATGTCCTACGACATAACCATCTACATATTTATATTAAACAGTGCACTTGAATAATAAACAATACTTGGTAGACGGATACAGATGTCGTTGTGATGTTGTTAGGCTGTGTGGCTGGTGTTGACACGTAAATGGGGTGTCTAGCTGTTACACCAGTTAAGACAGCGTGGTAAGCTCATCCCATGTTTTGTTGATGTTGTATGTATGGACGCCTTCCTCTCCGGGGTGACGCTCTTATGCTCTGGTTCTCCACTCAAAGTAATTTTACATTAACAAGGGAACCTAGCTACTATTTGATGTAAATAATTATATTCATTCTTAGTGATTACTTTTTTGTTAACTTTAGATACTAAACTAATCTATTAACAATATTTCATAATGTAAATATACGATGACTTTGATGACGTCACGGTGTCTCCCATTTTCCATCCTGAAGGGAGTATAGACTAGGGGAGACTGTGTTATTTGTGTGTGGTTGTGTGTGTGTGTCGGTTTCCCGACAATCATAAGAAGGAAAGTGAAAAGCCATGCAACCTCCGAAGAGACAACTAACACAACACCTATACCCCCTATTAGACTATTTTACAGGAACTTCTTTTCCACAGCTCATAAAACAGAGGAAAGGGTCCTGAAAGATATTGTTAATAGAAACGTTATCCCTACAGACAAAAATCAGAGGATACAACTGACGATTTACTATAAAACCAGAAAAACGGCCAGCCTACTCATGAGAAACTCTCCAGACACGAAACAGAACGCTTTAAAAGAGACTAACGTCGTCTATGCCTTCAAATGCCCACTTGGGGACTGTAAGCTCCAAAAAACCCAGTATATAGGCAAGACAACAACATCTCTTTCTAGGCGTTTAACGATGCATAAACAACAGGGCTCCATTAAGGAACATATAATCTCTTCCCATAACCAAACCATCGCCAGAGAAATCCTAGTAAACAACACAGAAATCATCGATAGGTACAGCGATAGCAGGCGGCTTGACGTTTGCGAGGCACTACACATCAAGAAGTCAACACCAGCAATCAACAGCCAATTATTGCACAACTATATTCTACCCACCTCAAGACTCCGCTCCAATATAGAAGCATCAAGAAATATGGACCAATAGGCTTTCTACAAACACTTCTATTCAATATCCATTGTTTCGTGTTCTGTCTTGTGTTGATACTTTTAATACCCTATTAATATCCTCTAATGCCACATCATCCTTCCCACCTCACTCAAATGTAATGCCACATCACCCTTCCCACCTCACTCAAATGTAGATATAAAATCAGGGAAACGCAAGTTCTAATCAGTTGTGTATTTGTGAAGTCTTTGAAAATGTAATAAGTTTTACGAAACGCGCCCGTGTCGCGTCAGACTAGAAATAAAAATGAATTTTGGAGAAGTGATTTTTGATTTACCTCCAACAGTGAAGCGTAATGTACGAAAGATTGAGAAAATTCGTGTTAGAATTATTAATCTTACTTTTTCGGTCATATTTAATAAAATATGTCTACAGGAAAGACTGCTACCAAAATATACTAATATATATATATATATATATATATATATATATATATATATATATATATATATATATATATATATATATATATATATATATATGTATATATATATATATATATGTATATATGTATATATGTATATATGTATATATATATATGTATATATGTATATATGTATATATGTATATATGTATATATATATATGTATATATGTATATATGTATATATGTATATATGTATATATGTATATATGTATATATATATATGTATATTAGTATATTTTGGTAGCAGTCTTTCCTGTAGACATATATTATTAAATATGACCGAAAAAGTAAGATTAATAATTCTAACACGAATTTTCTCAATCTTTCGTACATTATGCTTCACTGTTGGAGGTAAATCAAAAATCACTTCTCCAAAATTCATTTTTATTCCTAGTCTGACGCGACACGGGCGCGTTTCGTAAAACTTATTACATTTTCAAAGACTTCACAAATACACAACTGATTAGAACTTGCGTTTCCCTGATTTTATATCTACATTTGAGTGAGGTGGGAAGGGTGATGTGGCATTACATTTGAGTGAGGTGGGAAGGATGATGTGGCATTAACACAAGACAGAACACTAGAGGATATTAATAGGGTATTAAAAGTATCAACACAAGACAGAACAGAAACAATGGGTATTGAATAGAAGTGTTTGTAGAAAGCCTATTGGTCCATATTTCTTGATGCTTCTATATTGGAGCGGAGTCTTGAGGTGGGTAGAATATAGTTGTGCAATAATTGGCTGTTGATTGCTGGTGTTGACTTCTTGATGTGTAGTGCCTCGCAAACGTCAAGCCGCCTGCTATCGCTGTATCTATCGATGATTTCTGTGTTGTTTACTAGGATTTCTCTGGCGATGGTTTGGTTATGGGAAGAGATTATATGTTCCTTAATGGAGCCCTGTTGTTTATGCATCGTTAAACGCCTAGAAAGAGATGTTGTTGTCTTGCCTATATACTGGGTTTTTTGGAGCTTACAGTCCCCAAGTGGGCATTTGAAGGCATAGACGACGTTAGTCTCTTTTAAAGCGTTCTGTTTCGTGTCTGGAGAGTTTCTCATGAGTAGGCTGGCCGTTTTTCTGGTTTTATAGTAAATCGTCAGTTGTATCCTCTGATTTTTGTCTGTAGGGATAACGTTTCTATTAACAATATCTTTCAGGACCCTTTCCTCTGTTTTATGAGCTGTGGAAAAGAAGTTCCTGTAAAATAGTCTAATAGGGGTATAGGTGTTGTGTTAGTTGTCTCTTCGGAGGTTGCATGGCTTTTCACTTTCCTTCTTATGATGTCTTCGATGAAACCATTGGAGAAGCCGTTATTGACTAGAACCTGCCTTACCCTACAGAGTTCTTCGTCGACTTGCTTCCATTCTGAGCTGTGGCTGAGAGCACGGTCGACGTTGTTAACGCATACGTCGACCGTGCTCTCAGCCACAGCTCAGAATGGAAGCAAGTCGACGAAGAACTCTGTAGGGTAAGGCAGGTTCTAGTCAATAACGGCTTCTCCAATGGTTTCATCGAAGACATCATAAGAAGGAAAGTGAAAAGCCATGCAACCTCCGAAGAGACAACTAACACAACACCTATACCCCCTATTAGACTATTTTACAGGAACTTCTTTTCCACAGCTCATAAAACAGAGGAAAGGGTCCTGAAAGATATTGTTAATAGAAACGTTATCCCTACAGACAAAAATCAGAGGATACAACTGACGATTTACTATAAAACCAGAAAAACGGCCAGCCTACTCATGAGAAACTCTCCAGACACGAAACAGAACGCTTTAAAAGAGACTAACGTCGTCTATGCCTTCAAATGCCCACTTGGGGACTGTAAGCTCCAAAAAACCCAGTATATAGGCAAGACAACAACATCTCTTTCTAGGCGTTTAACGATGCATAAACAACAGGGCTCCATTAAGGAACATTTAATCTCTTCCCATAACCAAACCATCGCCAGAGAAATCCTAGTAAACAACACAGAAATCATCGATAGATACAGCGATAGCAGGCGGCTTGACGTTTGCGAGGCACTACACATCAAGAAGTCAACACCAGCAATCAACAGCCAATTATTGCACAACTATATTCTACCCACCTCAAGACTCCGCTCCAATATAGAAGCATCAAGAAATATGGACCAATAGGCTTTCTACAAACACTTCTATTCAATACCCATTGTTTCTGTTCTGTCTTGTGTTGATACTTTTAATACCCTATTAATATCCTCTAGTGTTCTGTCTTGTGTTAATGCCACATCATCCTTCCCACCTCACTCAAATGTAATGCCACATCACCCTTCCCACCTCACTCAAATGTAGATATAAAATCAGGGAAACGCAAGTTCTAATCAGTTGTGTATTTGTGAAGTCTTTGAAAATGTAATAAGTTTTACGAAACGCGCCCGTGTCGCGTCAGACTAGAAATAAAATGAATTTTGGAGAAGTGATTTTTGATTTACCTCCAACAGTGAAGCATAATGTACGAAAGATTGAGAAAATTCGTGTTAGAATTATTAATCTTACTTTTTCGGTCATATTTAATAATATATGTATATATGTATATATACATATATACATATATATATATATATATATATATATATATATATATATATACATATATATATATATATATATATATATATATATATATATATATGTATATATGTATATATATATATATATGTATATATGTATATATGTATATATGTATATATATATGTATATATGTATATATGTATATATGTATATATGTATATATGTATATGTATATATGTATATATGTATATATGTATATATGTATATATATATATATGTATATATGTATATATGTATATATACATATATACATATATATATATATATATATATATATATATATATATATATATATATATATATATATATATATATATATATATATATATATATATATATATATATATATATATATATATATATATATATATATATATATATATATATATATATATATATATATATATATATATATATATATATATATATATATATATATATATATATATATATATATATATATATATATATATATATATATATATATATATATATATATATATATGTATATATATGTATATATATATATATATATATATATATATATATATATATATATATATATATATATATATATATATATATATATATATATATATATATATATGTCGTACCTAGTAGCCAGAACTCACTTCTCAGCCTACTATGCAAGGCCCGATTTGCCTAAGAAGCCAAGTTTTCATGAATTAATTGTTTTTCGACTACCTAACCTACCTAACCTAACCTAACCTAAGTTTTTCGGTTACCTAACCTAACCTAACCTATAAAGATAGGTTAGTTTAGGTTAGGTAGGGTTGGTTAGGTTCGGTCATCTATTTTCGTTAATTTTAACTCCAATAAAAAAATTGACCTCGTACATAATGAAATGGGTAGCTTTATCATTTCATAAGAAAAAAATTAGAGAAAATTGATTAATTCAGGAAAACTTTGCCTATTAGGCAAATCAGGCCTTGCATAGTAGGCCAAAAAGCACGTTCTGGCTACTAGGTACGACATATATATATATATATATATATGCTGAGAAGTGCGTTCTGGCTACTAGGTACGACATATATATATATATATATATATATATATATATATATATATATATATATATATATATATATATATATATATATATATATATATATATATATATATATGTCGTACCTAGTAGCCAGAACGCACTTCTCAGCCTACTATGCAAGGCCCGATTTGCCTAATAAGCCAAGTTTTCATGAATTAATTGTTTTTCGACTACCTAACCTAACCTAACCTAACTTTTTCGGCTACCTAACCTAACCTATCCTATAAAGAAAGGTTAGGTTAGGTTAGGTAGGGTTGGTTAGGTTCGGTCATATATCTACGTTAATTTTAACTCCAATAAAAAAAATTGACTTCATACATAATGAAATGGGTAGCTTTATCATTTCATAAGGAAAAAATTAGAGAAAATATAATAATTCATGAAAACTTGGCTTATTAGGCAAATCGGGCCTTGCATAGTAGGCTGAGAAGTGCGTTCTGGCTACTAGGTACGACATATATATATATCAAGTGACACTTGAACGCGTTTCGTAATAACTTATTACATTTTCAAAGACTTTAGTTTACACACACACAACTATAACTAAACAGTTTAAACAGCTTCGATTTTATACGTGCATTTGGGTGAGGTGATATGTTACAACAGTTTTGGATGAGGTGAAAACAAACTTTCAACACAAGACAGAACACGAAACAATGGGTATAATATTTTGTAAGTTAAAGGGAAGAATGGAAGTAACTGCAAAGGGCCTATTGGCCCATATTTCTTGATGCTTCTATATTGGTGCGGAGTCTTGAAGTGGGTAGAATATAGTTGTGCATTAATTGGCTGTTGATTGCTGGTGTTGACTTCTTAATGTGTAGTGCCTCGCAGATATCTAGCCGCCTGCTATCGCTGTATCTATCGATGATTTCCGTGTTTTTTGTTAAGATTTCTCTGGTGATGGTTTGGTTGTGGGAAGAGATTATATGTTCCTTAATGGAGCCCTGTTGCTTATGCATCGTTAATCGCCTGGAAAGAGATGTTGTTGTCTTGCCTATATACTGAATTCTTTGAGGCTTACAGTCCCCAAGAGGGCATTTGAAGGCATAGACGACTTTGGTCTCTTTTAAAGCGTTCTGCTTTGTGTCTGGAGAGTTTCTCATGAGTAGGCTGGCCGTTTTCTTGGTTTTATAGTAGATCGTCAGTTGTACCTTCTGATTTTTGTCTGTAGGGATAACGTTTCTATTAACAATATCTTTCAGGACCCTTTCCTCCGTTTTATGAGCTGTGGAAAAGAAGTTCCTGTAAAATAGTCTAATAGGGGGTATAGGTGTTGTGTTAGTTGTCTCTTCAGAGGTTGCATGGCGTTTCACTTTCCTTCTTATGATGTCTTCAACGAAACCATTGGAGAAGCCGTTGTTGACTAGGACCTGCCTTACCCTACAGAGTTCTTCATCGACTTGCTTCCATCCTGAGCTGTGGCTGAGAGCACGGTCGACATAAGCGTTAACAACACTTCTCTTGTACCTGTCCGGGCAGTCACTGTTGGCATTCAGGCACATTCCTATGTTTGTTTCCTTAGTGTAGACTGCAGTGTGGAAAACTCCGCTCCTTTCCATGACTGTTACATCTAGAAAGGGCAGCTTCCCATCCTTCTCCATCTCGTAAGTGAAACGCAACTCAGAATTCCGCTCAAATGCCTCCTTCAGCTCCTGCAGATGTCTGACATCAGGTACCTGTGTAAAAATGTCGTCAACATACCTGCAGTATATGGCCGGTTTCAAGTTCATGTCGACTAAGACTTTTTGCTCGATGGTACCCATGTAGAAGTTTGCAAACAGGACACCTAGGGGAGAACCCATGGCGACCCCATCTACTTGCTTATACATGTGCCCATCCGGGCTCAAGAAGGGTGCCTCTTTAGTACAAGCTTGGAGTAGTTTCCTTACACTGTTTTCTGGTATGTCAAGAGGAGTACAGGCCGGATCACGGTACACTTTGTCCGCTATCATCCCGATTGTTTCATCCACATGGGTTCTCCCCTAGGTGTCCTGTTTGCGAACTTCTACGAATGAATGTCGTCCACTGGTGGGTGTAGCGTCCACTGCTGGGTGTAGCGACCACTGGTGGGTGTAGCGTCCACTGCTGGGTGTAGCGACCACTGGTGGGTGTAGCGACCACTGCTGGGTGTAGCGACCACTGCTGGGTGTAGCGACCACTGGTGGGTGTAGCGACCACAGGTGGGTGTAGCGACCACTGGTGGGTGTAGCGACCACTGGTGGGTGTAGCGACCACTGCTGGGTGTAGCGACCACTGCTGGGTGTAGCGACCACTGCTGGGTGTAGCGTCCACTGCTGGGTGTAGCGACCACTGCTGGGTGTAGCGACCACTGCTGGGTGTAGCGACCACTGCTGGGTGTAGCGTCCACTGCTGGGTATAGCGTCCACTGCTGGGTGTAGCGACCACTGGTGGGTGTAGCGTCCACTGCTGGGTGTAGCGACCACTGGTGGGTGTAGCGTCCACTGCTGGGTGTGTCGTCCACTGCTGGGTGTAGCGTCCACTGCTAGGTGTGTCGTCCACTGCTGGGTGTGTCGTCCACTGCTGGGTGTAGCGTCCACTGCTGGGTGCGTCGTCCACTGCTGGGTGTGTCGTCCACTGCTGGGTGTGTCGTCCATTGCTGGGTGTAGCGACCACTGCTTGGTGTAGCGACCACTGCTGGGTGTAGCGACCACTGCTGGGTGTAGCGTCCACTGCTGGGTGTAGCGTCCACTGCTGGGTGTAGCGACCACTGCTGGGTGTAGCGACCACTGCTGGGTGTAGCGTCCACTGCTGGGTGTAGCGTCCACTGCTGGGTGTAGCGTCCACTGCTGGGTGTGTCGTCCACTGCTGGGTGTAGCGTCCACTGCTGGGTGTGTCGTCCACTGCTGGGTGTGTCGTCCACTGCTGGGTGTAGCGTCCACTGCTGGGTGTGTCGTCCACTGCTGGGTGTGTCGTCCACTGCTGGGTGTGTCGTCCATTGCTGGGTGTAGCGACCACTGCTTGGTGTAGCGACCACTGCTGGGTGTAGCGACCACTGCTGGGTGTAGCGTCCACTGCTGGGTGTGTCGTCCACTGCAGGGTGTAGCGACCACTGCTTGGTGTAGCGACCACTGCTGGGTGTAGCGACCACTGCTTGGTGTAGCGACCACTGCTGGGTGTAGCGACCACTGCTGGGTGTAGCGTCCACTGCTGGGTGTAGCGTCCACTGCTGGGTGTAGCGACCAATGGTGGGTGTAGCGACCACTGCTGGGTGTAGCGACCACTGCTGGGTGTAGCGTCCACTGCTGGGTGTAGCGACCACTGCTGGGTGTAGCGTCCTCTGCTGGGTGTGGCGTCCACTGCTGGGTGTAGCGACCACTATTGGGTGTAGCGTCCACTGCTGGGTGTAGCGACCACTGCTGGGTGTAGCGACGACTGGTGGGTGTAGTGACCACTGATGGGTGTAGCGTCCACTGGTGGGTGTAGCGTCCACTGGTGGGTGTAGCGTCCACTGGTGGGTGTAGCGACCACTGCTGGGTGTGTCGTCCACTGCTGGGTGTAGCGTCCACTGCTGGGTGTGTCGTCCACTGCTGGATGTAGCGTCCACTGCTGGGTGTAGCGTCCACTGGTGGGTGTAGCGTCCACTGCTGGGTGTAGCGTCCACTGCTGGGTGTAGCGACCACTGCTGGGTGTAGCGTCCTCTGCTGGGTGTGGCGTCCACTGGTGGGTGTAGCGACCACTGCTGGGTGTAGCGACCACTGCTGGGTGTAGCGTCCACTGCTGGGTGTAGCGTCCACTGCTGGGTGTAGCGTCCACTGCTGGGTGTAGCGACCACTGCTGGGTGTAGCGTCCACTGCTGGGTGTAGCGTCCACTGCTGGGTGTAGCGTCCACTGCTGGGTGTAGCGACCACTGGTGGGTGTAGCGACCACTGGTGGGTGTAGCGACCACTGGTGGGTGTAGCGTCCACTGCTGGGTGTAGCGACCACTGGTGGGTGTAGCGTCCACTGCTGGGTGTAGCGACCACTGCTGGGTGTAGCGCCCACTGGTGGGTGTAGCGTCCACTGCTGGGTGTAGCGTCCACTGCTGGGTGTAGCGTCCACTGCTGGGTGTAGCGACCACTGGTGGGTGTAGCGTCCACTGCTGGGTGTATCGACCACTGCTGGGTGTAGCGTCCACCGCTGGGTGTAGCGTCCACTGCTGGGTGTAGCGACCACTGCTGGGTGTAGCGACCACTGGTGGGTGTAGCGACCAATGCTGAATGTAGCGACCACTGCTGGGTGTGGCGTCCACTGCTGGGTGTAGCGACCACTGGTGGGTGTAGCGTCCACTGCTGGGTGTAGCGACCACTGGTGGGTGTAGCGTCCACTGCTGGGTGTAGCGTCCACTGCTGGGTGTAGCGTCCACTGGTGGGTGTAGCGTCCACTGGTGGGTGTAGCGTCCACTGCTAGGTGTAGCGTCCACTGCTGGGTGAAGCGTCCACTGCTGGGTGTAGCGTCCACCGGTGGGTGTAGCGTCCACTGGTGGGTGTAGCGACCACTGCTGGGTGTAGCGACCACTGCTGGGTGTAGCGTCCACTGGTGGGTGTAGCGTCCACTGGTGGGTGTAGCGATTACTGGTGGGTGTAGCGTCCACTGGTGGGTGTAGCGTCCACTTGTGGGTGTAGCGTCCACTGGTGGGTGTAGCGTCCACTGCTGGGTGTAGCGACCACTGGTGGGTGTAGCGTCCACTGCTGGGTGTAGCGTCCACTGGTGGGTGTAGCGATCACTGCTGGGTGTAGCGACCACTGGTGGGTGTAGCGTCCACTGCTGGGTGTAGCGACCACTGCTGGGTGTAGCGACCACTGCTGGGTGTAGCGTCCACTGCTGGGTGTAGCGACCACTGGTGGGTGTAGCGTCCACTGCTGGGTGTAGCGTCCACTGGTGGGTGTAGCGTCCACTGGTGGGTGTAGCGTCCACTGCTGGGTGTAGCGTCCACTGCTGGGTGTAGCGACCACTGCTGGGTGTAGCGACCACTGCTGGGTGTAGCGTCCACTGCAGGGTGTAGCGTCCACTGCTGGGTGTAGCGTCCACTGCTGGGTGTAGCGTCCACTGGTGGGTGTAGCGTCCACTGCTGAGTGTAGCGTCCACTGGTGGGTGTAGCGTCCACTGGTGGGTGTAGCGTCCACTGGTGGGTGTAGCGTCCACTGGTGGGTGTAGCGTCCACTGCTGGGTGTAGTGACCACTGGTGGATGTAGCGTCCACTGCTGGGTGTAGCGTCCACTGCTGGGTGTAGCGACCACTGGTGGGTGTAGCGTCCACTGCTGGGTGTAGCGTCCACTGCTGGGTGTAGCGTCCACTGGTGGGTGTAGCGTCCACTGGTGGGTGTAGCGTCCACTGGTCGGTGTAGCGACCACTGCTGGGTGTAGCGACCACTGGTGGGTGTAGCGTGCACTGGTGGGTGTAGCGACCACTGCTGGGTGTAGCGACCACTGCTGGGTGTAGCGACCACTGCTGGGTGTAGCGACCAATGGTGGGTGTAGCGTCCACTGCTGGGTGTAGCGTCCACTGCTGGGTGTAGCGACCACTGCTGGGTGTAGCGTCCACTGTTGCGTGTAGCGTCCACTGCTGGGTGTAGCGTCCACTGCTGGGTGTAGCGTCCACTGCTGCGTGTAGCGTCCACTGCTGGGTGTAGCGTCCACTGCTGCGTGTAGCGTCCACTGCTGGGTGTAGCGACCACTGCTGGGTGTAGCGTCCACTGCTGGGTGTAGCGTCCACTGCTGGGTGTAGCGACCACTGCTGGGTGTAGCGACCACTGCTGGGTGTAGCGACCACTGCTGGGTGTAGCGACCACTGCTGGGTGTAGCGACCACTGGTGGGTGTAGCGTCCACTGGTGGGTGTAGCGACCACTGGTGGGTGTAGCGACCACTGGTGGGTGTAGCCTCATCCACAAAAATAGCCGGGCAAGAAATATTCGTTGTGAATCAACATTGCAAATATTGCAAGTTGCGATGTTTGTTGGTGGATATAATTACATGGTTGGGCAGTTAGCGTCGTGTAGAGGACGGCCGGAGCTGTTGACGGAGCCACAGGAGCCTCTTGAGTCTTACAGAGGCAACAGTTAGCGTCGTGTAGAGGACGGCGGGAGCTGTTGACGGAGCCACAGGAGCCTCTTGAGTCTTACAGAGGCAACAGTTAGCGTCGTGTAGAGGACGGCCGGAGCTGTTG